ATGCAGTTATCAAAACGACAAACAAGCTAGAAAGCGCTATCATATGGCAGTCTTCTGTACAGTTGTCATACATTAAAAAATGTTTATTTAATTAACTGAATATTTATCAAACATTATACTGGGCAAGTAAAAATTGTTTCTGGGCAAATGAAATGTGAAAGTCACTTGCCCGAAGGTCCAGTCAATTGTCCAAAGGGACAATAAACAGCATCAACATCCATATTTTCTACGTAATAATGTGCTAATATCTACATTAAATGGATTACTTATTATTAAAGCAGTTATTTATCTCAGATTTTACTAAACACTCATAGATTACTTGCAGGTACATAATTTTCTCTTTACCCTATAAGACAAAATCTAGTTCTGAAAAGAGCATGAATTCTGTATTTATCATCTTTAATGTTAGTATATGATGTGCAGAATTAAACACATTGTTTTCGTAGTCAGGTATCTGTTAACATATGAAAAAATAAAATGTTACATATGTTAGAACATTCCAGCTGAGGGTATTCCTGCTTCCAGTGTTGGTATTAGAGGGAAAAAATGGTAGGGGTGGACAATGATTGGCTTTTGCCACCCCTGGCCCCCCATCTAGCTCCGTCCCTGGCTGTAGGTACTGCTGCTGACTGCTGCTCACTGACGTTTTTCACTAAACAACCAAGCAAGTCTTTCAATAAATGAAAAAAAAAACCAGTGACGGCTCTGAACCTGAAAATTTTCGTTAAAAACAAACGTCTACATCCCAGATTTCTGTTTTCCATAACGATATATTTCTCTGTCTTTTTGTCTTACAGGCAGGACGCCAGCGACCTCTCTGGATCCCTCCAAAGGTAGAGATCATTTCCTCTTCCTTTCCTCCTTCCTATCGCCGCTTCCCTTCCCTTTGGTCTCATCGGCAGCGAAGCGTTTAGCCTCCAGGCTTCAGGAGGACATCAATGCTGGCTGTTTTAGGGATGGAGGGTTGAAGCGTGGGTTTATCAGGGTCTGTAGAAGGACAGGAGGAAGATGAGATGAGGCCTTCGGCAGGGAGATGTGGAACTAGAGTGAAAGAAAGGAGCGGAGGGGAAATTGTTTCTCCTCCTCAGATCTTTGGCCGCGGAGGGTCATTAAACCCAAGCCTTCAGCGACAGATCCTGAGAGCGGGGGGAAGCTTTAAATAAGGGCCGGTTTAAATATAGCAGCACCTATTCCTCATCTGAGACGTCATTAACGGGAAAAAGATGAGTATCCTTCCCTGAGAGCCATCAATAAGATGAGCTGCAGTGAAACGGAGGAACGTTTCGTTGCTTCTGATCCTGCTGAAGTTCAACAAAAAGACCCAAATTATGCATGTTTATCCAGAACAACAAATGATGCACAAATCCACCCAGTGACATTAGGAAGCACAGAAAAATGGGAGTTTGGTTGCAAACAGAAGGATGGATGTTTTTCTGATGGATTCCTTTTCTTCTGACATTTCTGGTCTTTATGAACTGGTTTCTGTACGGCGGTGAAATGAACCAGAAAGTAGGAAATCCATTTAAAATCTGGGGATTGTTTGGGGAATAGTTGATGTTAATGTAAAGTAATATGTGGTTTTAATGGGCTGAAAGTTAAGCTGACTTTAGAAAACTGAAACTTTGTGGGAATGCTTTTTGGTGAACTGGGTTGCGCTTAAATGCGTTGGTCACCTTCACGGCCGCATCTGTTCCAGTTTCTCCTGCTTCTTCAGACGACCTGATCGATCGGTATTCTCCTTTTTTTTCTGCTCTATTATGACCAGGCTTCATTTGATCCTGTGAGATTGAAACACTTTTAGACTAGAGCTGAAATTTATTCAATTCAGTTTATTTCTATAGCGTCAATTCACAACACATGTCATCTCAAGGCACTTTACCGTTCACCAGATCATACAGTGAAATTAATTCAAAGTTTTCTATCTAAGAAAAAACCAGTTGATTGCATCGACTCATTGACTCGAATGCAATCCCTCACACTAAGCATGCTTAGCGACAGTGGAGAGGAAAAACTCCCTTTTAACGAGAAAAAAACCTCCTTAGGCGCTATGTTAGCTTCACCTCAGACCTGGATCTGTTTGATGGTTTAGGCGCTAACATTAGCTTCTCTTCAGACTTGGATCTGTTTGATGGTTTAAGGCGCTAACATTAGCTTCTCCTTAGACTTGGATCTGTTTGATGGTCTTAGTGGTTAATATTAGCTTAACCTCAGACTTGGATCTGCTTGATGATCTAAGGCGCTAACATTAGCTTCTCCTCAGACTTGGATCTCTTTGATGGTCTAAGGGGCTAATGTTAGCTTTACCTCAGACTTGGATCTGTTTGATGGTCTAAGGGGCTAACATTAGCTTCACCTCAGACCTTGATCTGTCTGATGGTTTAAAGCGCTAACATTAGCTTCACCTCAGACCT